TTAAAGAAATATATTGCAACCATCTCTTTCAGTAAAAGTTTAAGTGAACAATATTAGTTGCCATTATAGCTACATACTGAAAATAAAATCAAAAGGCCATAACTTCTTCATAGAACACTCCACAAGTTATCAATTGTGTTGAGATGGGAGTTTGGGTCTTAATAGGCAGGGACAAAGGGGAGTTAATTAAAGTAGCAGCATTTTCTGCTCTTCCTCCAAAATAAAACGTTCCCCCTTCTCTTTAAAAACCACTTGGTCAAAATTGGCCTTAGTGTTGAAGTAACTAAATAAAAGCATGGGCTTTGTAGTAAGACAGAGCTTAGCTCAACTCTTGGCTTTCCCTCTTCCTGCCTGTATCCTCTTAGTCATGTTAATTAAACTCTGAACCTCCATTTCCTCATCTGTAAAACGAGAATTGGAAAGGCTACTTCAGAGGACTGTTGGGAGGATTTAACAGAATAATGTTTATAAAGTACAGAGCATGCTCTTGACGTTCTTGATACAGAGTGACAATTATTACCTAGGAAACAAAAGGCAACACTGAGAATAAGGTAACAGAATTCACACTATTTTACGGCTATTTTTGGTGTAGAATTAAGAATTAAGTTATTTGTTTGAAGTCATCTAATAAAAACAAGTAAAAAAATTACCCTATACTTTAATATTTTGAAACAGTGCTTCAATGCTTTAACCAATTATTACAGAAAAACTTGTCAAATTTGAGTCATTCTTAACCTAAAATTGTTCATTTTAGTAAATTGGAATTTGTCAATCCCATGTGATAAGATTATAGATATACTAAATATACTCCACAACTCAGCTGTCTAATACTGTGTTTAGGCCACTGGGAAACTGAATTTTATCTATTTTTATGTTTTCAAAGTTTATTTTTTAAAAAATCATTTAAAAAGTTTATATTGAATAAGGCGTTGTTGGTAATAGTATTTTTAGACATAATCCTTTCATTATAAGATAAAATAAATTGCTTTTTCAAAAAAGTATTGGAGAAAAAAATGACACAAAAATTTATGGTCTTGAGATTAGTTTTAGTAAGACACAACAAAATTATCAGATATTCGTAGTGAATCTAAGTATATGGGTGTTTTAAAAGGTTCGTATATAACGTATAGAGACAACACCAATGACAAGATCATGGTGTAGTTCTCTTAGTCCTTGGAAGCACGGGTCTTATTACAAAACCCCAGAGTATTCAACATAGAGCAGAGAAAATGCAGCTATTAATGGTGACAAATTAACCCCACAGAGACCAGTAAGAAGTAAACAGTGTATGCAAAGAATCTAACAATCTTATTTCTATGGGTGATGTAATAAGATATTTAAAAATAAATCCTGAAAATATCATATTAAATTAAAGAAACAACATTAAAATTTCAGATTGAAATTATGATAATCACAGTGATGCAAGTAAAATAAAGTAATTCTTAAAGCTTCTTTTCAAAAGAGGATTTTATACAAAGTGAAGCAGTATAAGAATTTCATAGAAGAAAAAAATAAATTCATATGACAGCATTATTATGAGAAGGTGCTTCAATATCTTCTGTAATTTCTAATGTTACTATATATATGCTTATAATGTTTGTACGTATTTACTAAAGATATTTGACCTACAATGATTTAACACATGAAAATATTGTTAGCATTTTACTCATACAAAATTATTTTTTCTAAATAATGATATACCTTTGAGGCTTTAGGTCTTGGAATTACATATCATATATTCTAATCTAATCTTCAGTCTTAATTTACACTTATGCCCTGAGTTGTCCCTTATGTTAGAGATGAATTAAATACATGATACTGTATATTTTAAAGCAAAAATAGGTGGAAAAAGTGGGTGAATGAGAGAAGAATGGCAAAGAGAAAAGGGAGAAAAAGTAGGATAGAGGAAAAAAAGACAATACAATAAAGAAGCAGGCCACTGTTCAGTTCTTGACTCAGCTATTTCGTAGTTATCCATCCTTGAGAAATTTGCATAAACTTTATATGCCTCAGTTTTCCTCTCTTAACCATAGGTATAGTAATATATATCTTACAGAATTATGAAATTGTATATAATGTATTTAATGTGCTTTGAAACAGTTCTCAGCAAGTAGTAAGAATTTAGGTGGATCATTGTTAATATCTATCCTATTCTTACCATGTGGGCTCTGGCATCAGATTGCCTGGGTTCAAATGCTTACTCTTTTGCTTACTAGGCTATGACTATGGGCAAGTCATTTAACCTTCTTGTGCTTCAATTTCCTCATTTCTGAAATGGGAGAAATTATAGCAGGGTTGTTAGGAGAATTAAAGAAGAGTACATGTGTAAAACTTAGAACAATGCCTGCTTCATCGAAAATGCTCAATAGACATTTGCTGGCACGATTATTGTTGTTAAGAGAGCAAGATATTTAAAAGTGATTAGGAAGTCAGAGGGAAAAGTGCAGATAGGAGGAAGAGCCTGCATAGTTTTTTTGGAGGAGAAAAGAAAAATAGTTTTGTAGTAGATTTGTTATACCACCCACCTACAACTTCAAGTGAAATCTTATGGTTAGGACAGGATTATGTTTATATTCAAGTTCACATTACAAAATTGCATGTGGAATCATGCCATTTTCACTCAGACGAGGAGCTTAGAGGTCATCCAGTCTGGAGCCCCAGATTTGCCTCAGGGCACACAGATGGTTAGTGGAAGCACTAAGGATAGAAGACATCATGTGATTCCTAGTGTGTTACTTTTCTTACCTTCATCACGCTACCTCCATTTAGCTATATTGGAACTTAGTCTATAAGGGACTTAACTTAGTTTGAGACCAAGCAATCGTGGGAGCTAATGCTTGAAATAGAGGCATTGAAATAGTTAATTATATATAGTTTCTATTATATTTTCTTAGAGGACATTATCCCTTTCTTTGCTTTGTATTAAGAGAAAGACTGAAATTATGTAAAGAAAATAGTTACCTGGGAGCTGTATCTCAATTTTTTAATGTTATAGGCCACTTTTCTTCTCTTCATATCAAAAGCAGTTCTGGGCAAGGCCAGGGAAAGCTACTTATAGGTCCCTTCTGCCGGACCTTATTACAGACACCTGACAGGCAGTGAAGAGAGCACCTAAGCCACTAGCACTGCCAGTAGCGTCCACATGTTGGTGATCTGCTAACGTGAGGTGGCACCTCAGAAGTAGCAACTGAAAGCACTCTTAGGAGTGGAACTGAACTCTACCATAACCCTCATAACATGGGTGATATTTTATTTCTAAAATGTACTTCCAACAAGATGATCTCCATAGCTCCTGCTGCAGGAGTATGTCTCATATTCAAATGCCAAATTGTTGAAATATAATTTTGTATTTGGGTCAGTTTACATATGACTACTCTCTTGTTGACCAATTATTGTCACAGTAGTTATCAGTACATATCAAAGACATACTTTTTAGCTGTAATTAGCTATTCGTGTCAGTAGCTATAATTTTTAAAGTATAACGTACATGCCCACAATGGCACAATCATTAGTGTACCACTCAGTGAACTGTCACAAAGTCAACCCATACACGTAAGCACCACTGAGAAGAAACAGAACCTTACCTTCATCCCAGAAGCTCCCATCCCAGAAACCCCTTCCCAGTCTTATCCTCATCTTCAGCCTCCTACCCCCATCCCCACTTCCTCCTGCCCCTGCCCCCATGCCACAGCAAAGGCAGGCATTTTACCGATCATTCATTAGTATTTGCTGGGTTTTGAGCCTTATATAAATAGTATCATGCAGTACGTATGAGAGTTTTAGTTGCTCCACATCTTTGTCAATGTTTGATGTGAGTCTTTTTCCTTTTAGGCATTCTTATGAGTGTATAAGCGTGCTTCATTGTAGTCTTAATTTGCATTTCTCTGATGACTGAGGAGGTTAAGCACTTTTCATTTGTTTATTGGCTACTTGGATAGCCTTTTTTATGAAGTACCGATAAGTTTTTTCTTCATTTTTAAACTGGCTTATCTGGTTTTTGCTTGTTCATTTGTAAAGCTCTTGTGTATTCTGTAATGAGTAGTTTGTCAGATACACACACACACACACACACACTCAAATCTCTTTTCCCACTCTATTCTTGCCTTTTCAGTCTCTTAAGTGTCTAAGAGAAGTTCATAATTTTAATATAGTTCAATTTATCAATCATTTTCTTTGTTGTTAGTGCTTTTTTTGTCCTGTTTAAGAAATATTTGCCTAACCCAAGGTCATAGAGTTATTCTCCTATTTTTTTTTTTTTTTGAGGAAGATTAGCCCTGAGCTAACTACTGCCAATCCTCCTCTTTTTTTTTCTGAGGAAGACTAGCCCTGAGCTGACATCCATGCCCATCTTCCTCTACTTTATACATGGGACGCCTACCACAGCATGGCGTTTGCCAAGCGGTGCCATGTCTGCACCCGGGATCCGAACCAGCGAACCCCAGGCCATCGAGAAGCAGAATCTGCCAACTTAACCACTGCACCACTGGGCCGGCCCTCTCCTATTTTATCTTCTAGAAATTTATTGGTTTTTCATTTCACATTAAGATCATCAGTTAGAATTGATGTTTATATATGGTATGAGGTAGGGTAAGATTGAGATTTGTCAAGGTGGCAAAGATAAAACATAAATGACAAGAAATAAACTCAGATTGTAAGTCCAAAGAAAAAAGTACAGAAGGGTAGCCTGCTTTTTTAATTCTTAAAAAATTAATAGACAATTTTCTTTAGAATAGTTTTAGGTTTACAGAAAAATTGAGCAGAAAGTGTTCAGTTCCCAAATTTTCCCTCCTCCCATAATTTCCCTTGTTATTTACATCTTGTATTAATGTGATACCTTTGTTATAACTGATGAACCAATATTTATACATTAGTAACTGAAGTCCATAGTTTACATTAGGATTCACTCTTTGTATTATACAGTTCTATGGAATTTTGACAAATGTATTACATAACCTTAGTTTTAAATCCTTTCTCACCTTTTCAGTGAAATAGCAACAGATGTGACCGTGTTTCAATATATCCTTTCATTAGCAGAGCTGAAAATAGCAGTAAAATGAGAAGATATAATGTTAAATATTAAATCCTTAAGTGAGGCACTTTTGACAACGTATTCAAAATATTTGGTGAGGAAGATAAAATGTGTTGATCTGGGATACAAAATAGGTGAGTGCTTTAGGTCATGAATTTATATCTCTGACACTGAGGAATCTACCCTTCTCACAGAGGTTATGCAGTTGGCTGTTGTGTGCATGGCAAAATACTACTGGCACTGCTGTCACAGTACTTTCCAAAGAACAATCCGTAGAATAAAAGTCAAATGAAATCTGTCCAGAGCTATTTGTAATTATGTTGCTAAAAGCACGAAGAAAACCCAATAGGCATTAATCTGCTAAAGCGACGTGGAAAGTACCATGCCATGTCAAACACCAGTTCATCTGTGCTAGTGTTTTTACTTCTTAACAGAGACTGTCAGTAAAAGCTACTATTTAAACCGCTTTTAACCCAAATTCATAAAATCCCATGATTATTTTAGATCACCAGCCAGATTCTCTATGAGCCAAAACTATTCTTAGTGCTTTAACTGATTCAGCAATTCACTATTTTGGTAGCTTGCTGAGAATCTTTCGGTAATTTTTTGTGTCTATCTAAATTTTCTCACACATTTAAATGTAAGAATATCTACATTCTGTTTCCAATCTATTTATTCAATCACATTTTTCACTCCTCACTTATACCAGCACTCAAAGCCTTTCTTTTTTCATTCCTCAGGGAAACTCACTCACTTCAAGGGGGCTAACAGGAGTCCTCTAGAGCAGTGACAACAGTAGGGCTAGGAGGAACCACATTGGACTATTTGTCCTCTTTTTTTTTTTTTTTAAAGATTGGCACCTGAGCTAACAACTGTTGCCAATCTTCTTTTTTTCCTTCTTCTTCTTCTCCTCCCCAAAACCCCCCAGTACATAGTTGTATATTCTAGTTGTGAGTGACTCTGGCTGTGCTATGTGGGACACCACCTCAGCGTGGCCTGCTGAGCAGTGCCGTGTCTGCGCCCAGGATCCCAACCAGCGAAACCCTGGGTTGCCAAAGTGGAGCTCAGGAACTTAACCACTCGGCCACTGGGCGGCCCCTAGACTATTGTAAAAGGGCCCCATGAACTCATGGTGATTCTCATACTCGGGTGAAATCAGTGCCTGACACCAACCCATGCTGTAACTTGATCAGGCTGTTTATCATTCAGTTGGCATTGCTTGAAGTTTCCCTTCTCTGTCCTGTTGCTTATACTATACTTATGATCTATTGAAGTTATATGTGGTCTTCAAGGCCTCACTCACAGTCTACTCCTCCATGAAGCATTTCCTGTCTCTTGCAGCAAGAAATGATCTTTGCCTCCTCTAAACACCTCCCATTAACTCTCTTCATAGGCTGCCCTGCATAGTTATTTGGGAACTTGTCTTCTCTCTCCTACCAAACTGTAGGCTCCCTAAGGAAAGAGTCTGAAAATCACATTTATCCTTGCATGTCCTATAGCACCTTGCCTAATTTCTTGCATATCTAGGGGTTCAGTAAATATCTGCTGAGTGCATTTTACTGTATATTATGCGTGGATCTCTTTCAAACCCAGGTGAGCTGTCTGTGAGCAAGTAAATATGAAATTATCTGGTAGTCATAATAGGGCACAAGTTAAATATTTGCACTGATATGGAGAAAAAAAACCTTTGCACTGAGATAAATCAGAGAACAATAAATATCAAAGTTAGACTATGACTATCTATATCACTCTAATTTCTTCATTAATTTTCAGCATTTAATTTAGAACTTTGGAAATAATCTATAGACGGGCCAGATAGAGACTCAAATTGTTGGAAAGATTAAAGTAATGACTTGGAGAGAATAATTTTGAAGAATAAGACTAAATTAAATAGATATGCGATAATAACTAGAGAAAATAATAACGGCTAACATTTAGAGAACTTATTATAGGCCATAGATTAGACTAACACTTCATTTGTATTTCACCTTAAAACAACTCTTTGAGATAGAATTGTTTGAGATAGTATTATTGTCTCCCTCATTTACAAATGAGAAAATAGGCATGGAGAGGATAAGTGGCAAGTTCTACTTACCTTACTACCTGCCAATAAGTAGTAAAGCCTGGATTCAAACCTAGTCTGACTCCTCTTAACCGTAATTCTGCATTGACAGTAATTTAGGATGTTCATTCATCTATCCATCCCATCCATGCATCCATGCATCCATTCAATACACATTAAGGAGTACTATGTGCTGGAGACTCTGCTGAGTACTAGGAATAAAAAATAAAACACACATTCTTGACCCTTAAGAAACTTAAAGTCCATTGGAAAGGCCAGCAAAAGTTTCCAGGGAAACCTTTACTAGAGAGTTAACTCTTGAAGAAAGAGCTAGACAAACAAGGAAGAGAAGTATATTGAAGTCAGAAGAAATCATGTATGCAAATAGCAGAGGATAAATAGAGTATTGCATGTTTGGGCTGCCGCTAGACTGTAGAGTGAGGGTTGGTTGAAACAGGTAGACAGAGGCTGGATTATGAGGGTCAGCTAACTTGCATTTCTATTAAAGGAACTACACTAGAAATATTTGCTTGTATTCCTATTAGTAGTATTTTATTGACCAAATCCATAGTATTTGATTGCCTAGCTGTAATAAGGGCAGGGAGTTGAATTTGGAAAAAGTTAAAAGAATGCTAAATGAAAATAGTCATAATTCCTATAGACTTACTTTTGTTCCAAGTCTCCTTCTAAAAAAATAATGAAACAAAAGAAAGCTTTAAATAAAATCTCGTACAAATATTGTATTTTCAATAATTCATTAAATTTCTAGGAAATTGTTGGTACTAATGAAAAATTTACATGTGGTTGTTTTGGCCACAATTTCATCTGTATAAAATAAAACATTTAGTTACTTGAAAAAACTCAATGGTTTTGTAATTTGCTTTTAGATCTAGAGGATGGTCCCAAACAAGCTATGGTTAGTGAACGGACAGAAGCCTTTACTACTGCTCGAAATTTATTGGCCTCTGGAGCTGATGCTATTGAAAGGATTATGTCTTCATACAAAGAGGTACTTGCATTTCTCGTCATCAATTTGATTAAAATAAGATATATGAAAATCAAGCAAAATGTAAATTACAAGATATACTTAGTATTTTGGAAGCATTTTTCTCTACCAAACATTGCTAAGAGTGTAATCAAGATAAAAGGCAGCCCTCCCAAGTATATTGCTGCTAATACCCTTTAATTTTTACGCTTTCAATGATAACTCCTCTTTTTCTGTCTATAGTATGACGTATTTGTTTTTAATTAAAAAAAAAAACCACACCCCTATGTGTGGATTCTGGAGCCAGAGTGCCTAAGTTTAAATTCTTGCTCCAGTATTTACAAATTATATGAACTTACTCAAATTCCTTAACCTGTCTGTGTCTGTTTCATCATCTGTGAAATAATGATAGCATTGACTTTGTAGGGTTGTTGTGAGTTAATACATGTAGAATGTTTAAAACAATACATATTAAGCAGTCACTAAATGTTAGCCAATAATATTACTTATATACCTTGCAAAGTTTTACTCATCCTTCATGACAAGTCAAGCCTCACCAACCACCTCTAAAACCCTCTTGTGATTCCACCTTCTTCCCGCCTTCGTTGCAGAGTCTGGCTCTACCTTCTCTGTGTTCACAGTACACCTGGTGCTTTACCACATTGTAATTGACTATCCCCTGCACCAGGCCCTGAGTGGAAAGCAGGAACTGTCTTACTCAGCTTTACATTCTTAATATCCATTTTAATGCTTGGAATGTTGTACGTGGTCGATAAATACTTGCTGAAAGAATGGTAATAAGACCTGCAGATATCACAGTGTTAAGACTGGAAATCATTTTTATTCTGTTCAGATGTTACATAATATTCCCATGGACAGACATTCTCACTATTAATTACTCTTGTGGCTTTTGTATCAATATAAATTGCCAGAGCATCTTTATAAATTTAGCTGCCTATTAAATCAGCCTCGAATAAGCCATATAAAAGAGTTACAAAGTTTGTGATTTACCGACAAAACTTTTCAGTCTCATTCAACAACTGATTTCTTGAATTGGGTTAAAAAAATAAAAGTAAAACCAGTTGTTTAGGGCCACGTACCTAACCAACTCAATTTTAAAAAATTTTTCAAATAGTAATTTTGATAATCTGAAGACACGGTTTTGAGGATAGGTTTTTTGATTAATAAATTACTTATTAAAATTAAATGACAAATCAAAATTTTAGCCATCTCACATTAAAATACTTTGGTATCTAAGTCACAGAAAGAATATCAATTAGTTTTTCTAGATTGTCTCCGACACAAAAACTGATTGCATTTTGCTTTATTTTGGCTGACTGTGCTTTGAATCACAGAATGTTCACTTCTAAAGAATCTTATTGCTGCTATGACAGCACATGAAAGCATCATGCATTCTCTGCTAGCTCCAGAGGGAGCAAGGGTCCTTTTTAGAGTTAGAGTTCAAGGGCAAACCCCCTGTCTTATATCCCAAAGTAATTTGTCCACAGTCACATTCTCAGGTTTTTTCAGACACTCTTTGCCCACTTCACCCTGCATCCTGGTCTACTAACTCCTTGCCTCCTGCTTTTCTTTAATTGACCTCTACATTTGGTTTTGGACTTTTTATTTTTTTATGCAAATATATTTAGCCAGGTTTCTTTTGAATCCATATTTTGTTAATCCTTAGCTCTGTTTTCCCCTACTTGAGAACTCAGGAGATTTTTGTGGATAACATTTTAGAAATTACCCTTTAAATAGCTATAACATTAACATATAGAAATGCGATACTAATCCAGCTACAGACCTCTCACACAGTAGAAAGCTTTTGACAGTAATATGCACTCTTTTACTGCTTAAGTTTTGCACACACAAAAATCTTACACAAATGTCAGCATTGGTGTATTATTCCACAATTTATTGTTTAAGAGACATTTACTGGTGACCTGCCTTGCTTATTGGTACCAGTTTCCTAGTAAACATTTCTGTAAGGGAATGGTTTTTGTGCTTTCCTTTTCACTGAGAAAGATGGTCTTGACAGGAGATGAGTCACCTTTCACAGTACCCTGACAACAAGGTGTTCTTTTAATAGAAAAACAGCAGGAGATTCAGCCTAAATTGGATCACTGGCAGGATAGGAGCAAGGTACCACTCTATTGAGCCTTATGGACTAAAGCAGAGATTTATCTCATCTTATCTTTAATCTCACCTAGAAAAAAGTCATATTTAATGTTTTTCTTTGGGCATATAAATCATGTTTGGCTTGAAAAGAAGCTGAATTGTGGAATTTGGACTGAAAAGGAGTTGAAGCTTTTCACTGAGCTCACTCCCAATTTTGGTATCCTCTAGCAGGGATATTTTCTCTGCCAAGCTTAGGAATTTTGACAATCAATTTGACTCAGAAACATTCATTTCTAATAAGAAAAAAAATGTATTTTTCTTCTATTTAAAACCTATTTTAAATTGAAAAAAGATATCAAAATAAAGGATCATAATTTCATTGAATGAACTTAAGCTTTTCACAAAATTTCTAATTTTCTGGAAATGAAATCTGTCATTTAAACGAGTCAAATCAGAAATTTGACTAAAGATTTATTTATTTATGAAGATTTTATTTTTTCCTTTTTCTGCCCAAAGCCCCCCGTACATAGTTGTGTATTTTCAGTTGTGGGTCCTTCTAGTTGTGCTATGTGGAACGCTGCCTCAGCATGGCTTCATGAGCAGTGCCGTGTCTATGCCCAGGATTCCAACTGGTGAAACCCTAGGCCGCTGAAGCAGAGCGCACAAACTTAACCACTCGGCCCCAGGGCTGGCCCCAAAAGATTTATTTTTTTAAGATCGGTACCTGAGCCAACATCTGCTGCCAATCTTTTTTTTCCCTTCTCTCCAAAGTCCCCCAGTACATAGTGTATATTCTAGTTGTAGGTCCTTCTGGTTCGCTATGTGCGATGCTACCTCAGCACGGCTTGATGGGCGGTGCTAGGTCTGCACCCAGGATCCAAACCGGCAAAACCCTGGGCCGCTGAAGTGGAGCGTGAAAACTTAACCACTTGGCCGTGGGGCCAGCCCCTTGACCAAAGATTTTTAAGTCTCACTAATATTCTGAAATCTTTACATTTCGTTTTTAACCCTGACTTGAATGAATAATTTTTTATGTGTTTTATAATCCCAATCAAACTTACATTGACACGTTGCTATGTTGCTCTCTTGATAAGCTTTTTACCTTTACTTGTTTTAGTTATCAGATATGTTATTTATTTTTCATGTATAATAAAATAGGATCTTTAACATTAAATCAAAAAGCTTATATGATTGCATATTTATTTAAGTCTGTCTTGAGTATATTAACTATTTTATCTCTCTGTGTTGGTTTTAGATCACTGAATTAGCAGGCTATACTGCTCGAGTGTACAATATGTTTTGGGTCTTTGATGAAGTGAAAAGAGGCATTTATAAGAGAACTGCTGTCATGCAAGAGTCTGAAAACCACAGCAAGAATGGAGCTAACATAGAATTATCCCTCAGTGATACGTTGGAAATCAAAGGTATTAGACTCAAATGTTTTTATATTTTTCCTGTATTTAAGTGTTTATCAACAGAACTAAAGTTTTTTAGAAGCTAGTCTTTAACAGATAAAAGAAACCAGCATTTATTTATTTAAATAGTTATTCCTAAACTTAGTATTGCAGTTTGAGGAGTGGTGACTAACATTACCATTAAAAAAAATTGTTACCTTTATTTAGAACAAAATTTCTAGAATTATTTTTGGAAACTGCACATATGGCAGAATGAATTGTTTGCTTTTAAAAATCAAATAACAGAATTAGAGCTAATGTCATATTGTTCTTCATCATCCTATGTTTTTAAACTTATTTGGTTATCATATTTTTAAAAATTATATATAAATGTCTTAATTCCCTTTTTGGGGCACCGTGTTTTTTCTGTAAGAAAGGTTAATTTAGAGAAACAAGTAGTTGTAAAGAGTATGGCTGGGTTATATCAGATAGAGTTTAGCTTTGCTCTCATTATGATGTTGACATTAGATTATTGGTAAGTAATGTTTCTGAGAAAGATTTTCCAAGTAGATGTGTCAAAATGTCCAAATTTACGTTAAACTTTTCTTTAGATATAGATATCTATATTTCACTTGGTTTTCTGATTTGTTACTGTGAATTATCTTTATAACGAATTTATCTGTTATGTTGCATTATACTTTAAGTTACTTACGTAATTAACAATAACGTGTGATAGCTTTTGTAACTTAAGTCCTTCCTTAACTTATAGGAAAAGTTATTGATGTGGATCATGGAATTATTTGTGAAAATGTTCCCATAATTACACCAACGGGAGAAGTGGTGGCTTCCAGGCTAAACTTCAAAGTAAGATGATATTCAAGAATCTTCTGATTGTTGCCATCACACTAATACAAAACAACACAGAATTCATGTACATTTGTTAAATACTTGGAGGAGCATATGGAAAGGAGGGGAAATCAAGAAAGGTATGCACAGTGGCTCAATTACAGAAGCAGTTACTTCCTCAGAAAGCAGAAAGAAAGAGAAATTTGATGTCTACTGCTTTATTGCCAGGTTGAAAATTAAAATTACAGTTCACTGAGAGCCTATACAAGGTAACTTTTGAGAGTAATAGGAAACTTCCTCAGAAATTAATATCTGAAAATAAATTTTAATTTTTTCCCTTCGAACAATTACTCAAGGAATATAAGCCTACCTATACTGTAATATATTTACTAAAATTTGAGGCTAGAAGTTATTAACAAGTTTAATTCTGTTAATACATGGTTCTCTAAATTTAATTTATATTTTAAATAATCATGTCTTCTATTAGGAAAAAATAATGAGAAGATTCATGGATTGGAATTTAATTTTTAATTCTGTTGAGAATAAGAGTTGTTATTTAATATTCTGTGTCTTGATTACAAAAACTAAGATGTAAAAATAGCTAATAAACCTAGTGCCCTGATTTAAAGCACTGTAAAATTTAAACATACATTTTGGAATTCAAGAACAAAATAATTTGCTGATAAGCATTAATGACTATAGTGAAGGCATCTGAGCTTAGTTCAAATGAAGACATACTTGGACTTGATATAGAATTACAAATCTGACAATGTATGTGCTAATGATTTTAGTATGGACCTTAGTCTAGATTTAATTATTAAAGATGTATTTGCAAATGAATAAAAGTGCTGAAAGATGATGAGAAGTACTGAAAGGGGTGGGGTAGGGAGTTCTGTGCTAATAAATATAAGAGAAACCGTCTTTCAACTACAATTTGGTCATGCTGTATATTTCCATTTATAGACCTATAGAGTGACTTTATTTGGATCTGAACACGAGCACCATAGGTGCTAATGGTGTGCCATAATCTTAAATAGGTTAAAATATTTTTAATAATTTACCAATTTATAATTTGTGAGTTTTTACACAGAGTTTCTTTGGTCAGGTTAGGTTTTGTAATATCAATTCTTGTTGTTCCATTTATTAAATAGAGTGAGGGCCTTGAATTCTGCCACCTACTAACTACATTATTGTGGACACATCACTCTCTTTCTGTGAAAAAATTCAGAACTCAGTTTATTTTTACATAAAATGAATTAAAAAATAATTAATCTAAAGAAAATGTCATAAATTTTGAAGTTCTACAAAGATATTTATTAAAAGTTTCAGGCACTTAAAATATAATAGAAAGATCTGTTTTCTCTGCGTGAATTGACAAATAAACATGTTTCTAGAGGAAAATGTTCTCCTCCTTTGGGAATTAAAAAACCATCTCAAGAAGAAAATTCGATAAATGGGAATTCTTTTTCCCTCACATTCACTGTTTACTAAACATCAGAAAACTTACGCTAAAAAAATAATATGAATGTAGAAAAGACTTCTAACGACTCAAAATGTGTTAAATTTTTGAAAATTCCTAATAGAGAATGAGCCTATTAAAATATTTTTTGAATACACCTTTTGCCGTGGCACATACCTTTTACAAAAAATCATTTAGGAAGTATTTATGCTTCTACAAAATTAAACTTCCTTAATCCTCTCTCTAGTGAAAGAGCCCAACAAATCACTAAATTAATTCTTTCCGGGTTCTTCCCAGAATTTTCTTTGAACTTTATTCTATCAAAATAGCATCTCAGTTTGTCTAGATGTAGAAAGGAAAAATATATATGGTCAGATTTTATAGACTCAAGCTTGCTCCTTTCTTATGTCCTTATGGTCGCTGTCTTCATCGCAGGGAATACTCTTCTCCCAGAGCTGATTGGTTGCTTCTTGTCATGCAAGCTCAGCAGAAATATTACCTCCTAAAAGAGGACTTTTCTGAGCACCAAATCAAAAGATGCCTCCCCTCCAACCTCACAATACTACCATCTTTCCCTAACACATCTTCCTCTTATGCTATCATAGTAGCATTTATCACTACTTAATTTTTTGTTCATGTGTTTATTGCTGTCTTTCCCATTGGACTGTAAGCTCCACAAGAAAAGGGACTTTGCCTTGGGCAGCACTGTATTCCCCTGGTAGAATGTCAGGCATTTGGTAAATATTCAATCAATGTTTGCCCAGGAAATGTCTAATTATTTAGGCAGAATATGAATCTGAACTATTTTTACTTTACGTATACTTATTACATTCATTGCTAGTTCCTTTATCTAACCTCCATCTCAATCTTTCTTTTTTCTTTTCCTTTTTCCCTCCCTCTCCCACCACCTTCTCTCAATAAAAAGATTTCAGCTTATGTTATACAAAGCAAATGAGTCAAGAATAGACATGGAACTGGTCTCTTATACAACATAATGCGAGCAACCTAATCCTCTTCATCTTGGAATTTTCAATAAGATGTATTCTCCTTCACTGATACTTCGAAGTTTGCATCCATACTATGCAAAGCTACGTCTACAGGCCTACTGTAGATTTCCACCTCTCACACTTTCCTACTATGTTCATTTTTTAAAACACTGTTTATAAAATTTGGTTTGTTCTTAGTAAAGTAGGTAAAATTTTTTAATGCTATTCCTTTTCCTTATTCTTCACAATATGCTTTAAATACTACACTAAGACAACTTCCTGATCCTATTGGGTGGAATGGGAGCTCATGAAATTTAACTGTTTAAATTTAAATGGTAAATAAGATGGAAGATTCTAAAGAGAAGTATCCAATCAATAATAGATAAATAACTTTTGTTTTATTGATAAAGAAAGAAAGAAAGAAATAGATTTGTTTTAATTCATCCCTAGACATAAGAGTAAATGATAGGTGCCGGCCCTGTGGCCGAGTGGGTAAGTTCTCACGCTCCACTTCGCGGACCAGGGTTTCACTGGTTCGGGTCCTGGGTATGGACATGGCACCACTCATCAGGCCACGTTGAGGCAGCGTCCCACATGCCACAACTAGAAGGACCCACAACTAAAATATACAACTACGTACTGGGGGGATTTGGGGAGAAAAAGCAGAAAAAAAAAAAAAGACTAAGTTATAATCCTCTTGCTTTCCTCTGTCTGGGTTTGGTAAGCATATTTTCTCTATCTGTAAATAAATTAGAATTAGAATCATTTTATCTTTCTGATTATGGACTTTTGTGATTTCTGTAACATTTCAGACTGCTAAAGTACAAAATTAAACAACCTGGGTGGCTCTTAAAATAGCTGTACTTTGTAGTTTATAACTCCAACTGATAAATAAATCAAAGTTGCATGTTAATTCAGTATAAATTTAACCAAATATTAATATAAGTAAAATAAAATTTAATATATGTTAAGTTTTTATGGCTTCTTATTTCCCATGTGATTCTGTTTCTCCATATGTGTGTAGTATCTGATGACAAGACCTCAATTAAAATTTTGGAAAGCCAGTCCTCATGGCAAGAAGATCCATTTTCTTTGGAGTTGGATTATCTTATGAAGCTTTCAGGTTCAAAGCATAGTCAAATCCAAATTTGATATTCTCAACCCTGATATATTTTTCTTTGATTCCTTGCCTATCCTAGATTGTCATGTGTTTGAAAGTTTTTAAAAAATAAATCACTTTTAAATGCTGCCAAATGAAATCATGTTTAAATATTGCCATTTGTAATTTCATTTCTTGCTTTAGGTACAGGAAGGAATGCATCTTTTGATAACTGGTCCCAATGGTTGTGGGAAAAGTTCTCTCTTCCGAATTTTAAGTGGGCTCTGGCCTGTGTATGAAGGAGTCCTCTATAAACCACCTCCCCAGCATATGTTCTATATTCCACAAAGGTAGGTAAAAAAATTTTTTATATAACAAAAAACTATTTCCTTTTGCTTTTGAATTATCTTGATTCCTTAAGATCGTCAGTTTGTAATCTTTAAGCATATTTTCATTGAGAGAAGCTATTAAGGAGATAAAAATTCAATTATCCTTAAAAGTTTTACTACTGCTTTGATTATAATAGTCTCTAGGACAATACCACTTCTTTTCATTTTCCCATCTGTCTAGATATAAAGAACACTCAAAGACTGCAGATGTTCATCTCAAGGAATAGCAAGCGAGTCTGAAGAATAATTAGGTTGCCTTAGGTGTCAGATTTTCTCTTCCTACAGAAGAAAAATAGTACTTGATGGTATACTCTTCTCTCAATCAAGCTGCATGCATTCATATGTTCTAAAATTGTTCAGTTATGTTTTAAAAGCCTCTGTAAAATAATCTTTATTACGATTATATGATTAATGATTTGAAACTACAATAATTAAAAATATTTTATTCTAAGGATGAGCGTAAAGAAAGTATTTACCTATGTGTAAGTGTATCAAATCAACACATTGCACACCTTTAACTTACACAATGTTATATGTCAATGTTATCTTAACAAAGCTGGAGAGAAAAAAGAAAATAACTACCACTGCACTGTATACTTAAAAATGGTTAAGATGGCACATTTTATTTTATCACAATTTTTAAAAAGTGAAAAAGAAAAGCACATAAATTCCAGTCTTTGACCTCAGAGAGACCTAACTATGTTATTTTGCAACAAGTGTAAATCACTGGAAACTTTTTCTTAGTTATGAAATTTACTGTTGCCCAAGCAAAGGTCAACTACAACTTAGTTAAGGAGAAAAATGAGAATGAGAAGTCTATTTTTTTAAGGCTAAAAATGTTTTTTTAATAATTACTGTTAAAAGTGATTTTATCTTGATTATATAGCTTCTAGAAACATGAAAATTTGTATTTATGTCTAAAATCTTTTTTTTTCTCCCCAAAGCCCCAGTACATAGTTGTATATTCTAGTTGTAAGTCCTTCTGCTGCTTCTATGTGAGCTGCCACCACAGCATGGCTACTGACAGACAAGTGGTATGGTTCTGCTCCCAGGAACCAAACCCCAGGCCGCTGAAGCAGAGTGTGCTGAACTTTAACCACTGGGCCATCAGGGCTGGACCTATTTGTGTTTAAAATCTTATAGGACCAATATCTTGCAAAGAAGCATAGAATTTGTAAATGTAGTATTTATTTCTTACACTCTAAAAGCTGCTAACTGATTTTTTCAAGTAAATTTGAAAATAATTTTATAATTCTTTATGATTTAAAAGAAAGCTGCTACAACCTGTTTCAAAATATTTGTCAGTAGGTAATCATAAACATTTCCTATTAGGATATTCTCATAATGAATATTATCTAATTTTTTTTGCATTAATTCATAATAGTGGAATATTGGTTAAGTACTATTTTGACAGGAAAAAAAACCTGCACATTGAATATAGAATTAAGTCTTATGTACCTGAAGAATAAACTTCATAAATCACAAGCAGATTTTTATAATATTTCCCCTGTTTTCACTTTTTATGTCTGAAAGACTTCTTGGTAGAGGATGGATCTCTTTATGTAGGGATCAAATGTGCATTAATTGTTATTTTCATGGGGAAAAATAGAGTGGGCTTTGTTAAAGTGGATTTCTAATAATGTCATGTAGTGTACAGAAGAAAAAAAGTGAACTACTGAGGGAAAAAAATGTTCTAATTAAGCATATTAGGCCAATTATTTTTTAACCAAATCTTCAGAAAATGCTGCTATGGCTCAGTTTGCAAGCTGGGAAACCTGAATCCCTAAGGAATTGTGAAATCACCTCAATATTTTACCAGTTAATAATTTCTAATACTTTAGCAATGTTAATAACGAGAACCAGATAAAAGAAAGTCTGGGCCTTAGTTCAAAAATACAGATAAAAAGTTGTGCTAGATAAATTCATTTCAAAGCAATTTCCTTTCATCCCATCTTCATTAATGATTGGATATGATAATTACTAGAACATTTGATAAGTTTTAGCAAAGAAAATTTCACCTATAATGTAGATTAGCCACTCTAAATCTATGGGATGGTAAATGGTAAAATACTTAGTTTTGCTCAGATAGTACTTTAAAGAAATATTTTGGTGATGTTAGGCTGTTTGACCCAGAATTCCCTGAGCAATATGACTCTATTCTTTAAACTGTTAATTGAAACTCCTTGTTCCCTACTGTATCAGCCATCCTGACCCTCAGGAAAAGTCTTCCACTTGGATATAGATCCTAAATTTCTTATGTCAGTTCTTGGTACAGTTTCTCTGTCTTCCCAACTATCTAAGGATAGATCTTGGTATAGTATCTCCTGTTCTTGCTTTCACTAATCCACTAATCTATGACCCATCAAATGCGTACTACTTCCATATTATGTCTCTGTCTTCAGTCATTAAAACCACAAAAGCCCAATCTTTTATTTGTTTAGTTCACCTGCTAACAAAGTATTATTATATGCCAACACTCACCAAAATGGGAAATTAAAACATTTGGTGGGGGTTGGGAGAGTGAGAGAGAAGAAGAGAGGGAGAGAGGAAGAAGGGAAAGAAGGAAGGATGGAGTGGAGGGAAGACAGGAGGGAAGGAGGGAAGAAAGACAGAAGATAATAAGTGTTTACTTACAAAAGGTAGCAAAATCTTGTATTCCTTTATGCTGCTTTTTTCTTTAATCCTCCGTGGGATCGTTTGTATACATCACATATCTCTCCTCAGCAACAGTCTCCAGTTGGGCACCAACCCACCATGTAATTCTGTTCCCAAAGGTCTTGCTCTCATTACCCTTTCTTGGTAGAAATATCTTGGGACAGAAATTTTAACTACGGTCTTCTTACTACTCGAACCTATATGCCCAAATACTTATGCTAAGTTCAATAGATCTGAAATAGATTCAGACTTCCAACAAACAATCGTATATGAAAATACAAATTTCTATCCATTCTTGACTGTGGAGTCTGAGAAGGAACAGTTCAGAAAAGTGAAAGAAGGATTGTATTATAAGGATCAAATTAAATCTGACCAAACATTTTTTAAAAGGAAGAGAGGGGCCAGCCCCGTGGCCCAGTGGTTAAGTTCTTGCACTCCATTCAGCGGCCCAGGGTTTCGCCGGTTCGGATCCTGGGCGTGGACATGGCACTGCTCATCAAGCCATGCTGAGGTGGCATCCCACATGCCACAACTAGAAGGACCCATAACTCAAAATACACAACTATGTACTGGGGGGCTTTGGGAAGAAAAAGGAAAAAATCTTTAAAAGGAAGAGGGAAAAAAGAAAAAAGAGGGAGGAAAGAAAAAAATGGGGGGAATGTCTGCAACATAGTGCTTCATATCTTGGGAAACTATTGTACTTTATTCTTTGTCAACCCCTCCCTTTTTCTTTTCATTTTAACCAATATTTATTAAAGCCCTGCTATAAGATACTGTGGAAGACAGATGATGAGTTAGATACAGTCACTCCTATTATGGTGCTTATGTCTAATTTGGTTATAAACAAAAACATGCAACTAACTTCAATAAAAGCCAGAATAAGTCCCTCAAGAAAGGCAAGAAATTCTATAGATGTTCAAAATGAAGAAATATACACAGAACAGTGTGCCATTTGACCTGGGTTTCGAAAGTTAGTTAGGATTTTAACAGTTGTCATGAATCGCGTCAGTTTCTCCAATAACTAAATAGGTCAGAAATACCACAGATTCAAGTAAGCACAAGTTTTTCGTTTTTACTTTTTGGACATTTCTAAGCAAGTCTGTCCTATCCACCCTGTTTCTAATACACCAAGCTGAGAAAAGCAAACATTTATTAGACTTATCTCCGCTAATGGTGTTGTTGGCATACACTCGAAATAATGCAGCCCATCCCCGAGGTCCTGAAGCATTGCTAAAATGTTCTTTCAACTGAAGTTCTTTGAATTACTTTTTTTTTTTTTAAAGATTTTTTTATTTTTTTCCTTTTTCTCCCCAAAGCCCCTCGGCACATAGTTGTACATTCTTCGTTGTGGGTCCTTCTAGTTGTGGCATGTGGGACGCTGCCTCAGCATGGTTTGATGAGCAGTGCCATGTCCGCGCCCAGGATTCGAACTGACGAAACACTGGTCCGCCTGCAGCGGAGCGCAAGAACTTAACCACTCGGCCACGGGGCCAGCCCCTTGAATTGCTTTTTAAAGTTCTCAAATGCTTTCGGGGTCTGCCATTCCCCAGTCTCCACCTAAGTAGCTCATCTCCTCTATATGAGTAAATGACAGTCTTATAAGTTAAATTTTAGTCTGTTAATGCTTCTTGAAAAACATAAGGAAAAATGACAGTAACTTGCCCCTACAACTCTCGATATTTTTTGTTCTCTTTTGTCAGAAGATAGTCTGAAATTATAAATAACATTTTATTTATCAGCTCAGTATTTGTTTACTAACTACTTCATTCACAGAGCAGTATATTATAGTACCATGTTGCTTAATCTTCTAGACTAAATATAAATACTGCTTAATAAATAAAGTACCTATGAATCACATTTTTAAATCACATGCAACATAAAAATCCTAAATGTGGTTACATGCAGGAAAGATAGCGTGGCTAATTCGATTGTACAACAAATTAAATATAGATAATTTTACTTATTTTTATGTATGAACAGTACATATTGATTATGCTCTGCGTAAGCCATGCTAAATCGAGTATTTTAAATAACTAAATTGGAGTTCAAAGGGATTAGAGACTTTACTTAGAGCTACACAGCAGTGCAGAGCCAGAGTTAGAGTTCACCAAGGCCTTGGATATAAACTCTCTGTATTCCCTGCCTCTTGTTTTCAAGATTAATAAAATCATCATATTAAAAATGTCTTCCTGTGATTTAAGAAAACCCACTGTTTCGCCTTAAATATTTTCTCAAATAGTAATAATAATTAAAGCCTCTAGTGCTGTCCTAAATTTATGGGGAATAACAAAATATCATTCTTTTAT